TATTGATGGTATTTTATCCCGTGCCGTCGAATGATCTCACCCAGTGGCTTCATGTAGAGGGAGCCCCCTTGTGGAGTACTGCGAAGCTGTTACCATGGCAACTCCACTGTGTTGTATAGTAGAAGCCATTTTAAGGCACAACAGACTGTATCTTAACAGAACTTGAATCCAAAATGCACACTATCACTGTCAAAAGTACAGTGACTTGACACTATAGATATAATTCAGTTCTTTTCATTTTAGCAACCCAGGCGTTCCGTAGTTATGCTAGAACACACACACACACGGACACACCCCGAGGGGTGTTTGGGGTGTCTTACCCCCATGGTATTTGTTTCCAGAGAGTAAGTTATTTGTGTACCAAGTTTGGTTTAAATTGCTTGAGGTGTTCCAGGGTTATGCTTGAAAACACACACACACACACACAGAGCCATTAAATATAAATATATTTATATGATATATAAATATAAATATATAATGCATTGTGTCTCTCAAACAGAAAAAGATTCCCTGCCCTGTTTTAGGCTTACGATATTCTTGAAAATAAATCATGGTCTGATATACATAATTTTACCTGGAGGGGAGGGGGGCACTATTATTACTGGTAGTGGATTTTTCATGTATATGCATGTGTGTGTGTGAGTACTAGCCTTGCCTCCTATTTTCTTGGCAGCATTTTCAGAATTGGCTTGCCACTTCCTTCTAGGTGAAAAAAAATGACTAGCACAAGTCACCCAGCTGGCTTTGTGCCTAAGCAAGGACTAGAATTCACAGTCTCCTGGTTTCTGCGTGAGTCCATTGGGAGAGGACAGATTTTAACCCTATCATTCAACTTGTGTGATTAAGTTTGTAACAGGGTGGGTGAAGGATAAACTTATTTATAAGCTTAACTAGTTCTGATGCAGGAAAGTTAGTTTTTTCTACACTATTAAGGAATTGTAGTAAGGAAATGGCAACCTTATTTAGGTTTATTGAGAGGGGAGGTAGAGATGAAGCTATCCCTTACCAGAGAAGTTTTTCTCTTTGTTAAGGAAAAAAATATCCTTGCATAAAACAATTTTGTTTATAATTAGGTTAGGGTTATTGGGAACATAAAGTTAAAATCATGAAGATAGATTTTGAAAATATTTTCTATTCTGTATTTTGTACTTAAAGTTATTTTGAGTTCATAAGTTTCTCACCATCCTTCATCGTTCTCCACTTCAGGTTCAGGTCCTTCATCTTCAGGTGTTTCGGATATTGCTTGGTTTAGTTTTGATTTGAATCTATCTAGTAACGCCAGTGTCTGGAATTAAAATATGATGCTTAGCACATGCCCATACACTCTCTCTTACACAAAGGTGCATTTTCAAAAGGCAACTGGATTTTCTTTGTTCTTCCTTGAAAATATTTTGTTTGTCATCCAAGAAACTTCTTTAGTACTAACTGAATGATGGAAAATGGAAGGATTTATATTTATATAATTATATATAATTATACAACTAGGCTTAAAAGAGGGGTCAAAGAGGTCATCTACATTAAGACCAAACAGCCCTCTCTCAACAGAGGGAGAGGCATACACCACCACAAATCTCTTGTTTGTAACACAGTCCTTTCAGCAGTTCCAAGAAGGTTCCACACCCATTTGTACTATTCAAGTGACCCTGAGGGCACATGTAAATCTCCAAGCGGCCTCAACCAGATAACTATGAGGAATATATATGTTTCCATTCTCCATCATTCAGTCAGAAATCAACAAGCTTCTTCAAGGAAAAACAAAGTCCAGTTGCAGTTTGAAAAAGCACCTTTGGAAAAACCATGACCTGAGTGATTGAGAATCTCCACAAACATTGCGTCTTACACAGTATTAGCGTTTACAATATAAAATATAAAGTGTTGCATTTTGTGAAAAAAAATGAACTACATTTTTTAATGTACTTATTTTATCAAATAAATTTTTGTCTATTATTCTTCAATGAATGTAATTTGAATGAACATTCTAACTCTTCACCGGCTATACAGCTATCTGCTATATTGTATTTTATATTGTAAGCTATACCTTACAATACAAACATGCTTGTAAGGTATAGCTTATGTTTGTGCACATCTTTAAGTTTTGTAACTTTTTTCCCATACAAAAAAATTCACTTATTGCAGAATTATTTGCCCATTGAATTGTATTGCTAGGGTTCACAACTTATGTTCCAAAAGGAATTTCATTCAATCAATGTATACAGGTACTAATGGTAAAGAGTCTATTCACTGTAATTATTTAAAATACTCTGTGGTCACATATTGTTGGAAAAGATAGATAGCATTGGCAGAATGACTTTAGTGTGACATTACTAATCTCCCCAGTGACAAATGCCTCAATTCCTAAAAGACTTGCCTCTCACTTAACTGACAAAATAGTGATAACGTTAAAAATAAAAATAAATAGCACCTTGTTTTCTTGGTGATCGCTTTCGATGTGCAAAAATCTTAAAAGAAATGCAGGTGGTACTTGGTGACAAGGCAGCCAAGGACAATCATGTTAAGTGTACAAAGATGCAATATGTAAGATTTAACTACTATATACACCGGCATCACTTCACCATACTACAGAAAATCTGCAGAGGATTCAGTGACTGTTGGAGACTGTGCCTATGTACCTAACATGGAGGTTGGACATACAACACAGAGAGTTTGCCAATGACCTATTGGTCTAATGAAATATTCTCCTCAATAAACAGCAGCATGTGCTCAATCTGGTACAAGTAAGGTGCAAAGTATAACTGTAACTAAGAAAAGACATTTTCATATATTTGCCTACTGAAATATTGCTAGCAAGGTGCCCCTTACCACTGCAGAGATAACAGTGACTGTGTCTGTCACTGAAAGTTAATTTATCACCACAAACCAAACACATCCAAAAAGGAGGAACTGAACATGAGTTTATGAACCAGCAATCATTAGAGTGTGCTTTGAAAGAGGTAAACTAAAACACTTTCACTAGCTGTAAAACATGTTTTGAATATAGCTCTTTGAAGATGCAGTATACTGTTTAAAAAGTATAACAAATAATTCTGCTTTCACTATTCTGCTATGGTGTCAAGACCATAGATTTGTTAATATGCTTCAAAATTAATATAAGCATTCAGCACACAAATTAAATGTAAAGAAAAAATAAAATAAAGTGAAACCCCTCCTCTATAATGTAAAATACCAGATTTGCCTTAGATATTTCTGTGAATGTAGAAATGGAGTTAGATTATTTGGTTCTGTCTAATCTTCTTTTGCAGGTGAAAGATGATCTTAAATCAAAGTCTTTTTTCTTTTTGAGCAAATATGGCACCTACCTGTTCTTCACGAGAAGTTCCTTTCTTTGCCTGCTGCTTCCTAAATTCTTCATATTTCTTCTTTTCTTCAAGATATTCTGCCACCATGCTATTTGGAGCAGCTTCCTCTTCTCCATTTAGAAACCAAAGAAAACATACATTTTATTCAAAGATAATTGTGATACTTAAATTTACATTAGTCATTTTATTTAAAGAAATATTGACAAATGTTTCAATGAATTTGTTCTTGTACTATGAAGTTGTTGTTTTTGTAGCTGAATCATTTTTTCCCTTTTCTGTATTAAATAGATTGTTTTGACTAATTAGAAAAAATAGTCTACATATTTTCCCCCAGCAATAATTTCTGAGCAGCAGATAGAATGTTCCCTTCTCCAGCCAGTTAGCAGAAATTACCAAATTGGAGTAGCTAAACAAGAAAAGATCGTAACAAGAGCTTGAAGATGGTCTGTCAGCTAGATAATATTAAAACAAACAAAACCAATCAGATAATGTGTAAAGACCTTAAATTAAAGGTTGAATAAGAGTCCCCTAAATGATGTCTATATTTAAGATAAAGTTCTATAACCCAGTACATCCTACAGGTCATTGTTCAAAAATACACACACAGGAACTAAAATTTAAAAAGTAAGAAAAATGCAAATCTAATATAATGCAATTCATTTAAAAAGGGTGATAAGTACTTAACAGGAAAGCACATGGTTACATTAAAACCAGCATTAGATCATACAGATAAGAAACAAATGCTTCTTCCTTTATCCGCAAGATGAGATTTCCTGTTTTCAATCATACTTTTATCTTAATCTAAATTACTCTTTTATTTAGTGCCCATGATTGGCCTTACAGATTGTTGAATGATGCTGCCTTCAGGACTTGCCTTTTTAGCAACATATTGTAATCTAATATCCAGGAATAACTATTGACAGCTTTCCTGTTTAAATCCTGTTATTTTACCTGAGAAAACCACAAATGAACACAATAGTACATTTTCTCCTCCTAACACATAATTAGGTGCCAAAAATATTTTAAAACTGTTGGCACTTGCGCTTCTGCTGCTCTGATCTCTAATTTAACTGCTATGGAAATTTAGAAATTAAAGTTGCTTTTAAAATATTTGCACATCCTAAGCTATTTAAAATCGTGTTTTTTTTAAACAATATTACTTCCTGATTTTATGGGCAAGAATGCAATAGTGTTCTATACAACGCAGACATATTTCAAAGGCAGGACATTATTGATGGACCAAAATATGGTAACCAAGTAGTAGTAAGAACTTATACTATATGCTCGCATCTAATAGGCAGATTGTGATCTGCCTCCAGGCACTTGTTTTCCTCACATATACATTTTATATGTAATAATCTAATGGGATAGTGTTGACAAGTAGTGAAGCAGTGCCAACTTTTCTACAAAGAAAATGTGAAATTACTGCTGGCACAAGAATATTTCCTTTTTTTAAAAAAACAAGGAAATAATACACAATGATTGTTAGGAAAAAAAATACCATTATATTTTTAGTTTTAAAGTGCATCACAGTAGCTTTGAGGTCAAGGGACTCATAAAACTCAAAATTAATAGCAGAATTAATGGCAGAAACTTAGACAATATATCAGGATGTGCAGTAATAAAACTATATAATTGAAAAGAATAAGTCATCTGATTACATTAAAATATTTGTAAAAAATATTTGTAAATGGTTGTGCAACTGCACAGATCTTCATGCATTAATTGACACGTTTAAACCAGGACAATAGTTGTACTATAAAAAGAGAGCTTGGGAAAGGAAGCTGTAAAGTAAGAAAGCATTTCAGTTATTCAGCTTGAAAGTAGACCTGCATCCAGATATTTATCATTTTATAACTTAATCATAGCAATGATTATTGCTATTATTGAAGTAATTCAATGTATGAATAACAAACAGTCTTGCAGCTAACAAAGATTCTTCTTCTGTGGCATTGAAACATTCTTATAAATAATATGAATATGGGGAACATAAAAGTGCATTTTGCAGTGCTTTATTCCACAATTCTAATGGACTATGGAATATTTCCCCAATTTTCAGGGCATATGTTTGAAAAAACAAGTCAGTTCTGATTTTGGGGCAAACCAAGGAAAGTAGCCAGGAGCCAACATTATAAACATGTATAAGATAAGATAAAAGATGAACTTTTTTTATATAGTATCAATAAAATTTGTTGCAGGACCTCTCTGTCTTTGTCACCTATCTTTGATCATCTCCAAAAGACACCACATATCTGACTTTATCTTTCTATAAATTGTACAGACAGCATTTTATGCCTTTCGTGGACATAACCTAGTAAGACACATAATTTAAAATGTTGCTCAATATTCAAACATATTGATAGTTCTGTTCAGGTTTTGTTGAAACATTGAACCTGGATGGTAGAAAAAACCTTTGTGGTCTATTGAGTCTGCCCTTTAATGTATGTATGTATGTATGTATGTATGTATGTATGTATGTATGCGCGCACACATACACACATATATGCATATTTTTCAACAAATATTCAACAAATGTTTAATTTTACTCTGTCTTTATTCCCAAAATTCATATTGCTTTTACCAATTCACAACAGAACTGTTGTTTTGAAAATGCACCAAAAAAGGGAATTGACTAAGGAATAGAACATTTGTTTAAGAAATAGAACATTTGTTTAAATCTTTATTTGTATAGGATTCAGCTTTATTGGATGCTAATTTGAATCAAACATTTATATTCAAAGCCACAGAGAATAGTTTAGAAATATAATTTAGAGGGGTTTCTAAGCAAACAAATAAATCTACCATATTTTGGATCAACCAGGTCAACAAAGCAATTCAGACTAATTTATGGCAAGCCATTACAAGAAGAAAAAAACAGAATAAAACAAGTATATCCTCACTACTGTACATAAATGGGAAAAGGCTGTGCTATTGAATTTGTGCCCAGTGTTAACAGATATTCCAGCTGAATTGCCAAAATAACTGAAGAAGAATCCCTCATGAACCCTGGAACCACCAGTATTTTACTAAACCTTCTGTATTTCTTTTGCTTATAATCCAATACGGTGCTTTTGGGCATTCTCTTCCGCTGGTTGCCAGAATTTCCTCTTTTTAGCTTAAGAATTCAAATGATAGAATTATTTCTATCTTTTTCATGTATCCATTTTCATTGGATTTAGTAGACACCATAGTCCCGTGATAGTGAACCTATGGCACACGTGCCCAAAGTGGAATGTGAAAACATGTTGCCTGCCACGTGGGGCCTTGTCTGTTTGTCTTTTGGGTTTCTGGTATGCATGCATGTGCAACGATCAGCTGTATTTGCGTGCACAGCAGTGCTGGCCAGCTGATTGTCAGGCACGCATGTGCTCTAGTACGCAGAAGTTTGGCTTTCCTGGAGTGTGGCTCTGACGAGTGTGCGTATCACTGCTATACTCTATCTGCATCTGCTGGAATACTCCTTTTTTCTTGCCTTCTAGAGAACAAGATTGGCAGTCTTCATTGTTTACTTGTATAATGTCAGTACATTAGAAAATATAACTATAATAACAACATTAATGGCTTCTTAGGTTTACTGGAAAGGAATGAGCCACACATTACATGAGAATGTTATGTTCTCCTAAGTCTCCTAAACTGGATTTCTTCAAGGGCTGGATCAGCATTATAGTTCTCCTCTGTGGGCCAGCCCGGGGGGGGGGGGGGGGGGCAGGCCAGCCAGCAGATGGGCCAGGTGCCTCCTGCAGCCCCCTGCCACCCCACCCCCTCTTTTGGCCGTCAGAGTATTGCAGGAGGCTGTCTAGGCCAAGAACTGGGCCGCCTTTTGGCCGGCAGAGTTGTCTAGCCCGAAAATTGGGTGTGCCCCATTTTCATTAACAGAGGCGTTGCAGGCCTTTGCTATTTCCAGACTGGCACCGCAGGCCAGATTTAAGCACCCCGCGGGCTGGATTTGGCCTGTGGGCCTTGAGTTTGACACCCCTGTCCTAAGGGTTTGAAAGCACAGTGATAGCTATCACTACTTAATTAAGTA